AAAACGGCAATGCGCAAGGCTTTGGTAATAAAGTGCACAATCAACGCTAACCTTGATGCTTTTTAAAGAGCACCTGCGGTTGGATACGAGCGGGCGCCGTGGCAGCGGCGGCGCGTCTTCGCGCAATCCTCGGTCGCGCCCCGAAGTCCGTCGGGAATTCGCTCTCTTGCCTCTGGCGATCGACTCCGCTGGTCCAAACGCAAGCCGGCAACGACTCGCCGGGGTTCGCACCCCCAGCCGTATAGCAATGTCTCACAGTATACTAACACGCACGACGCGCGATTGCACGGCCGTCGGAAGTTTCCGGTCCATCAGCAATCCTTCTCAAATCTCGCAGCGAAATTCTGCACAGTACGGCCCGGCTGCTGGCATTACACCCGGGCGGAAAATTATAACACGTGTCGTCGGCCACAAATTCCTGTATTAATGTTTTGATCGTCTGGTGCCACATCCACTTTCGCTAATCACCTGATTATCAACTTTCATCAAATCTAGTCTCTCACTTTCACAGCCACGAGTCATCCAAACTGTGTTCTTGGAAACACCACATAATTGGTTTGATGTAGCACTGGCCCCGTCGCGTGTTGCACTCGCGGCACTCTGCGCACACTGTCCCAACCGTCGCTCGCCTCGCCGTCAAACTGCCCGATTTGACCGTTGGTGGCAGCGGCGGCGGCGGTGGCGCGTTACTGCTCTGCTCAATTCAGTATTATTTAATTAGAATTAGTAATTCTATTATTTGATGTTACACATGGCCGAAACGTTCTTCGTTTCAATATACATATATTATAATATATATATATATATATATATATATACTACACATATATATAACAATATTCATATATAGCATATACAATATCTATACATATATATACATATACATATATATACTAGTATATACAGTATATATACATATAATACTATACATATATATACTATAATATATATACATATATATACAGTATATATACATATATTATTACATATATATATATACATATATACACATATATATGTAAAGAAAATATATTTTCTTAATTTTTGAACCAGTGACGTGCTTTCTTGACCCTTAGCGTGCGTGGTTCGACTAAGGACCGCTAGATGGAATGACTGGTACGATTGTTGGGAGAGAAAAAAAAATTTTTTTTTAGTAAAACGCAATGAAGTCAATTTAGATGAAAATTTATAAGACAGATTTTATTGTCATTGGAAGTAAAGTAGCGTAAATAGAGAAGCGGTGGTAGTAGGCTTGAATAGTCGATTTCTCTGTTTAGCAAGATAAGAGCAAAATGTTGTATAAACAGTTTTTGGTATAAATAATGTAATGATGGTTCTGGATAAAATTAATAAAATCACTCTGTTTCTCAGTGAAACATATTTTAACTAAATATTATCCGGCATATATATATATATATATGATATTATATATATATATATATCTAATATATAATATAGAAGAGAGAGAGAGACGAGAGAGAGAGAGAGAGAGAGCGAGAGAGAAAAGAGAGATAGTTCATATTAGTACGACATCCAGGGTAGCATTACATGAATTGCCGCGCCAAACTTGCGTGTTTGCCTTACATATACATGGAGCGGGCGCGGAATAATCCTGGCCGTTGCGTTGTCAGGGTTCGGCGCGGAACTGTGGTGCTACGGCGCGCTGGGTGGCGGTTCCTATGCGGAGGAGCTGGCGGAGCTTTTTGCGGCGCCCAAGGTCGTGGGGTGGACGCGGACGCTGGCGCGGGTTGTGGCGGCAGCGCGGCGCGTCGTCCTGGCCTACGACCGCGCAAGACGTCCCTCGAGTCGCTTGCCCAGTGGCCGCTTGTGGCCCGCGGTGCGCGCAGCCTCTGGGGCGACGTGCCAAGCTCGACGCCCTCCGGGACTACTGCACCGCGTCATCGGCAGCGGTGGAGCGCACGCGTTCGCCCTTGCCTCATTCCACGCTTTTCAACTAAACATGTATTATCCCCATGAGTGTTGTGCATGTTTGTTTTGCTTCGAGCGACGAATTCTTTGTTACTGCCACGCGGCGGCAATACGGGGTCATTCCTCCATAAGTGTAGTGCATGTTGTTTTGTTTCGGCATTCATGTTACTCAATTCCGGACCTCGGAGGTCATTCGTTCCCAAAAGTGTAGTGAATGTTTATTTTGCTCGGGCGACGATTCTTTGTTACTCATTCTACGCGCGGCAACTACGGAGGTATCGTCCCCCTAAAGTAGTGCACGTTGTTTGCTGGAGCGACGATTTCGTTGTATTCATTCCACGCGCGGCGCAGTTCAAGAGAATAGTAATCTGTTCGTGGTTGCGTTTTGTAAATAATCTTTGTAAAGAGTGTTTCAATTATTAAAATATTTAAATGCACAAAAGAATTACTTATGATCATCTTCCAATGCAGCGCCAAAGCCCTGGAAGCCCATTCACGAAAATGTACCCGTCCTGTGTATAATTTATTTTGTCGTGAGAGTACCGCTTCCCAGGTACGTCACAAATATATATATATTATATATATATATATATATATATATATATATGCGTGTGTATATGTACAGTAAAATCTGTGGAAACGTGCCTTAACCGGAAAATTTCTCTAGTCCGTGAAGTTTACATGGCATTTTACACAGCATAAAACGAAATCTCTCCAACGTGGAGACAACGGTTTTTCATGTCCTGTGAGAGAGAAAAAATATTTATAAAACGGAATTTCTGTGAATTGGTAGAGAGTCGCGAGATGTTCTTAATGGAATGAATTCATCTCCAAGCTAGTTTTAAAATTTACGTTCTCTACCCTGTGGCACGCGATTTAGTCGTAGGTCGTAAGGTCACAATCGGCAAATAGTTACGTGAGGAACTTTTGTAATGTTTTTTTATGTTCTTACTGCGGTAACTATTTATCCATTATTACCTTTATAATATTTTGTCTGATGAGGAGGACAGCAATATCCTCAAAACTCTTGTAAAATTAAAATATAATACAAAACGTACATGTATTATTTACATAGATTACCTACAATAGTTAAAAAATTCTGTTTCAAATTAAAGGGCCAAAGTATGAACAATTTTATGAATTTATATATGAAAAGACACGTGTATAGTAAATAATTTAAAAAAATAATTTTTTTGTTACAGTTAATGTTGCCAAAGCGATACAAAATAACTTATAAGTTAGATTTAAGCTAAAAGTAAGTTAGTTATTAAGAAAATCCCTCCCTCTCAGCTGGTTAAGCCGCAAGGCAGCAGCATACTGTAACCCTAACAGAGCAAAGAAAGTCTGGCCTGCTCAGGGGATACTGTAACAAGTATTGTGCTTCAGCTAATGGGTCAATGACCCCCCATCTCGATCAGGTTTTCGCCCAGTTTCCCTGATCCATTGAACAAATTGCTGAGATGGCCCCTTGCTTTGCTTCTGGCCATAAATTTAACTTCAAATTAACTTCTCCCCATAGCATGTCAAACACATTTTTTAACGAAAATAAATAATAATAAATAATAAATAATAAATAATAAATAATAAATAATAAATAATAAATAATAAATAATAAATGAAAGAAAGAAAGAAAGAAATACTGTGGAGGGGAAGTAACGAGTATTGCTCACCGACGGGGAACTCCTGGACGTCGAAGATGACGACCTCGTTGGGGTGGTTGCGGATGAAGTCCTTGACGTCGTCGAGCACGTCCTGCAGCGGGTGCAGGCGCACCACCCCGTGGTTGACCCACCAGCGCGCGCTGGTGCTCGGGTAGTGGCCGACGCGAATGTCCAGGTAGCGCACGCCCAGCCGCAGCTGCGTGCCGATGTCCTCCTCCTGCGGCGCGGCACACGGCCCGCGGAGCGCGTGACGCTGGGCGGACGCTACGCGGCGGCCGCACGGGTGACGGGTGGGCGAGGCGCTGGTGGTGCGTGGGAAGGAGAAGGTGTTGGGCGGTCAGGGAATGGCAGCTACATGCGCCCCTTCGCTCTCCCTATCCCCACACTCTCTCACACATCTCTCCCCATCTCCTCTTTCCCCCGCTCTCTTTCTCTCTCCCTCTGTTTCTCATTCTCTCTCTCGCCCCTCTCTTTCTCTGTCCCTCTCTTTCTTTTTCGCCCCTCTTCCTCTCCCCCTCTCCCCCTCTTTCTCCCCCTTTCTCTCCCCCTCTCTATTTCTCTCTCCCTCTGTTTGTTTCTCTTTCTTCCTTCTCTCATTCTCTCTCGCCCCTCTCTTTCTCTGTCCTCTCTTTTTCCTCTGTCCCTCTCTTTTCCTCTCTTCGCCTCTCTTCCTCTCCCCCCGCTCTCCCTCTTTCTCCCCCTTTCTCTCCCCCTATCTCTTTCTCTCTCCCTCTGTCTGTTTCTCTTTCTCCCGTCTCTCATTCTCTCTCTCGCCTCTCTCTTTCTCTGGGTACGATCCCCGGGCCTGGGATCCCGACCAAGGGTTTTTCGTGGTTTCCCTCGGTTACTAGGCGAATCCTGAGATGGTTCCAAAATCACACGAACACCTCCCACTACCCCCCAACTAACACCTCCTACCATCATCCTAGTCCTTTCACCCCTCATCATCACCCTATAATATTAATAATATTAATAATAATAATAGTAATAGTAATAATAACAACAATAATAATATGCATTCTTGGCTATTCGGGATGAGCCGCGTCTCGGTCCATTATCCTGACGTTTCGGCCATCTTGCTAGATGGCCACATCTTGCAAGATGGCCGAAACGTCAGTACAAGGCCTTGATATTAAGGCTAACGACCTTGTTTTATACAAGGGATGCAGCTGAAAGGCTGATCTCATAATGCCACACGTTGATTTCTCCAGGATAGAATACGGCTGAGCCTCAGAAAGATAAATGTGTTGCGTGGTCAGTAGTGGTCCATATGCCAATAATAATAATAATAATAATAATAATAATAATAATAATAATAATAATAACAATAATAATATGCATTCTTGGCTATCCGGGATGAGCCGCGTCTCGGTCCATTATACTGACGTTTCGGCCATCTTGCTAGAAGACCACCATCTTGCAAGATGGCCGAAACGTCAGTACAATCGACCGAGGCGCGGCTCATCCCGGCTAGCCAAGAATGCATTGACTCCGGCCGCGGAAGCCTACGAACGCAACAAGAGTAATGGTTATAGTTGTAGCAATGGTAGTGACCTGCGTGATGCTGTACTTCTCGACGATGGTCTGCGGCACGAGCGGCGAGTAGCGGCGGTAGGCGCCCGAGTCGTGGGTGCCCGGCAGCAGCACCTCCTTGAGGCGCAGGCCGCCGATGGACGCCGCCAGGTCACCCATCCAGTCGGGGTACATGCGCGCGCACGCCACCGCCAACACGCGCTCCTCGCCCTACGCACACACGCACGGCGCAACGTTGTTTGGGAATAATGAACTAGACATTTTTACTCGTTACACACACACACGCACATCGCAACGTTGGTTAGGAATAATGAACTAGACATTTTTACTTGTTACACACACACACACACACACGTCGCAACGTTGTTTGGGAATAATGAACTACACATTTTTACTTGTTACACACACATACGTCGCAACGTTGTTTAGAAATAATGAACTAGACATTTTTACTTGTTACTCACACGCACATCGCAACATTGTTTAGGAATGATTTTCTAGACATTTTTACTTGTTACACATACATTGCAACATTGTTTAGAAATAATGAACTATACATTTTTACTTGTTACACACACACACACCACATCGCAACATTGTTTAGGAATAATGAACTAGACTTTTTTACTTGTTACACACACGCACATCGCAACATTGTTTAGGAATCATTTTCTAGACATTTTTACTTGTTACACCACACACACACACATCGCAACGTTGTTTAGACTAATGAACAGACAGTTTACTTGTTACACACACGCACATCCGCAACATTTGTTTAGGAATGATTTTCAGTGACATTTTTACTTGTTTACACAACACATTGCACAGTTGTTTAACATAATGAACTATACTTTTTACTGTTACACAACACGCACATTCGCAACATTGTTTAGGAAATCATTTTCTAGACATTTTTTAACTCTGTTACACACACACACACAGCTGCAACGTTGTTTAGGATCTATATGAACTAGGACAGTTTTACTTGTTACACACCACGCACATCGCAACAATTGTTTAGGAATGATTTCTTCTAGACACTTTTTACTTGTTTACACACACGCACATCGCAACATTGTTTAGAAATAATGAATAGACCATTTTACTTGTTACACACACCCCACCATCGCAACATTGTTTAGAACATAATAACTAGACATTTTTACTTGTACACACGAACGCACATCGCCACATTTGTAGGAATATTTTCTAGACATTTTTTACTTGTACACACACGCACATCGCGCAACATTGTTTAGAAATAATCGAACTAGGACATTTTTTACTTGTTACACAACCACGCACATCGCAACATTGTTTAGAAATAATGAATCCTAGACATTTTGTCACCACGCTCCTCACTTTAAGTTTTTAGGACATTTTACTTGAACACACGCACATCGCAACATTGTTTAGGGAATGATTTGCTACGACATTTTTACTTGTTACACACACGCACATCGCAACATTGTTTGGGAATAATTTTCTAGACATTTTTACTTGTTACACACACGCACATCGCAACATTGTTTAGGAATAATGAACTAGACAGTTTTATTTGTTACACTCACTCACATCGCAACATTATTTAGGAATAATGTACTAGACATTTTTACTTTCTCGCTACCGCATACGCAGTAATGCTGCGCCAAAAACGGCGAATTTTCGGTCGGAAAACTTTTATAACGGGCTCTGGTTACGAAAAAGTCGATACATCTAGTTGCCAAATTTAGAACAAATATCCTCTAACACGTGGTGTAGTCTGAATCCATTGTTTGTGGATCTTTCATACTGAAAAATCGAATGACGGCAGAAAGTCTGTCTGTGTATCTGTGAACAACGCTAACGGCTAAACCGTTCTGCCGGTTTTCTCCAAAATTGATATTCCCCAATCGATTTGGCGGTTGTCACACCCCCTTAAATTTGATACATATACGGGGGTATTTTAATCTTGGAGGTACTTTACTTGGAGTCCCTGGGACATTTTACAAATTTTTAACAAAATTATGATACTTTTTGATTATTTTTTTGTTGGATGGTGTGAAGAATATTTACGAGAATGATGCATTTTCCTTTAAAAGCTCTAATTTTAACACCAGTGCAAATGTTGCATGTTTAATTTAATTATCTGAAGTGTAATGCAATGAACCAGATATTCAGAGGTAAAAAGTCATTATTTTCAATCCCCTGAAGAATCTAGAGGGTTGTAACATTTATTCTGAGATATCTGAGTATTTCATTCGATATAAACACACTCTTTGAACCTCTGCGCGTGCACAAATTTTAACATCACCATAAAGTTGCATTGAATTCTAATACAGTTGTATTGAACGTGTAGTACAATAGTATTTTACAACACATTTCCAGATGACACTCAACGATTAAAATCGATACACAAGTTTAAGCCCCACGTAAAATATTTTCTGTTGCATAACTGTTTCTAAACAGTGTTTCTAGACTGAGAATCAAAAATGAAAATGATATTGATTTTAACAGTGATAATATTCCTAATGTGTTAGTTACCATTTAGACTGTATAATTCGAAAACACTAAATCTGCCTGTAACAAGTATTGTACCTCCACATCTGTTTTAATGACTCCCCACCCCTGTCTATCACGTTTTTCGTCCAATATAAAAAAAAAAAAAGTTCAGCATTTTCTTGCAGCAAGAAGCAAGATGCCGAAAGGCATGATAAGAAATAATACCCAAAATCTGTAGCTGATTTACCTTTACAAATGGATTTATTACACGGGAGCGAATATGTTCTTATCAGTTCTTACCAGAAATGGTCATTGCAACCTGTATTTACAATTAAACATAATATGTATGCGGGTTGGGACAGACATCTCATTCAAGAAACCGTGGTTGGATTGCACTTCCCACCATAATGTATTACAGATTGTTTGACGTTAAATAAACAAATAAAAATAGGAATATAAAAAACAAATGAAATGAATAAATGAACAAATGAAGACATGAACACATTAAATATGAACTAATGAACGATTAGATAAAGGAACTAATAGGTAAATTAATGAATATATAAGTAAATAAATAAAAGAACAAAAAAAAAAAAGAAATGGACAAATGCATAAATGAACCAATGAATGAAGAATGAACAAACGAACCAACGTCACACAGAATTTTCAAATGTATTGGGCGTAAATAAATAAATAAATTAACAAAATAAAAATGGACAAATGAACTAATGTACAAACGAATAAATGAACAAAGAAACCAAATAAGAAATGGGTAAATGAATAAATGAGTAAATAGACAAATGTACGAAGGAGCAAAGAGAAATGGACAAATGAATAAGTGGGCAAATGCGTTAATGAAGAAATGAACAAAGAAACAAAATAAGAAACGGACAAATGAACAAAAGAATAAATGAGTAAGTGGACAAATGTACGAAGGAAGAAAGAGAAATGGACAAGTGAAGAAAAGAAATGGACAAATGCATAAATGAACAAAGAAACAAAATAAGAAACGGACAAATGAACAAAAGGAATAAGTGGACCAAGGAACAAAAGAAGAACTGACTAAGTGGACAAATGAACAATATACGAAATGTCCTAATGAACCAATGAACAAATGAATAAGTGGGCAAAAGTACGAAGGTACAAAGATAAATGGACAAATGAATAGGTGGACAAAGGAACAAAAGAATTGAATAAGTGGACAAATGAACCAATGAATAAGTGAAAAAAGAAGAAATGGACAAATGAACAAAGAAAAGAAGCGGACAAATGAATAAGTGTACAAATGAACAAAGGAACAAAAGAAGAACTGAATAAGTGGACAAATGAACAAAAGAAGAACTGAATAAGTGGACGAATGAGCAAAAGAAGCGATGCGACAAATGAGCAAGTGTGGCTCACCGTGGGGTGTGCGTGGGCGGCGCGCACGTAGGCCGCGCACTGGGTGACCTCCTCGGCGTCGCGCGAGGCCTCCACGCCCGTCAGCGCGCGGCCCTCCGCCTCGGCCGGCGCCACCTCCGCCCGCGCCAGCGCCAGCCCAGCCAGCGACCGCCTGCGCTCACACACACGAAATCGGTTGGTTGGTCGCTTAACTGCTATTTCAATTGGATGCCATATTTTATCTTTTAACTTTGTCACATTTCCTGAGACTTTGTCATCGAAAATTGCGTACTCCCCTTGCGACCGCGTGCGCTCACACACGCACACTCGCTCACACACACGAAATCGGTTGGTTGGTCGCTTAACTGCTAAGGTCGCGTTCACTTCTACTTCAATTTGATGCCTTATTTTATCTTTTAACTTTGTCACATTTCCTGAGACTTTGCCATCGAAAATTGCGTTCTCCCCTTTATTAACACAAGTATTTTTAACAAAAAAACAACAACAATTTTTTGCACAATTTCCGGGAAATATTCATGCGAAAGTTTAAAAAAAATGTTTATTTTACATCCAATTCCACATCGTCTATATTTTACGTGGAGAAACTCGAGCCATCATCGTCTGACCAGGCAAATTTCGCTGCGCTCCTTTCACCTACTAGCAGAGAAGGGGGTGTTTCTTGGGGGGGGGGACAGGTGATTTGAATTTAGTTCAGAGGCGTCATTTAGGCTTGGGGATCTTTTACATGCGAGTAAATCAACTTACATGGGACAGCCGGCTTTACTTCCCCTCCAAAGGAAGGCGTACGAAGGATTTTTTTCGCCCTCAAAAAACAACGGCTTCGATCGGGTTTGAGTAGAGGGATAAAGGCATGTGGAGCCAGCTTGGAGGGGGAAGGTGCCAATAAACGCTTACGATAGGTCTCCCTTCCACATAACCACACGAGGTTTGTTGCCAGAGGGTAAAATTTTTTTTGGAGGTAGGTTGGCGGGGGTATTATAAACCGCTTAATACAGGTCTCTCTTCTACATAACCTCATGAAGTTTGTTGTCAGATGGGTGAAAGCTTGTGGGTGGGGTCAATAACCACTTAAGACAGCTCTCTCTTCTACAGAACCACACGAGGTTTTCCATTTGAGTTCTTATGTAAACACACGAGGTTTCCTGCCAGAGGGGTAAAGGCTTGTGGAGCGAGCTAGGTGGGAGTATTAGTAACCGTTTAAAGAGCTCCACACGAGGTTTGTTGCCCGGGGGGGGCGGGTGACGCCGCGTCCAATGGCGAAGGTGCCGAAACGTTTCGTCGCCATTCTGCGACCTTCCTCAGGGCGTAATGCGCGAGATGTGCAGCGCACGAGTTTAAATGGGCTTAGTTTCTCCTGCTACCCCGAAGTGCCGTATGGCCGGGTGTCGATCTGCACTCCGCATTAGAGGTGCACACCGCCACCCGGCACTCCGGGTAGGGGGAAAACTAAGGCCCATTTAACTGCGTGCGCGCGGCATCTCCGCGCAATTACGCCCTGAGGAAGGTCGCAGAATGGCGACCGAAACGTCGGCACCTTCGCCATGGACGCGGCGTCACCCGGACAGCCTAGTACAAAAAAAAGAGTTTGTACTCACCCGCCGGCGGCGTTGGAGGGGTCGGACGCAAAGAGCCCCACCCAGTCGCCGGCCTGCGGCTGCGCGTGTGCCCAGCTCACCACCAGCTGGCGCTTGGGCGTCGTGGTGAGCAGCGGCGACACCGTCACAGACACCCACGGCGTCGCCCCGCGCGCCGCCCCTGCGCAACGCTGGGCTCAGCTTCTCTGTCCCGCCGCTCGGCGCGCCACCGTCGCCCTTCACTGGAGGGACCTCCTCCCCTTTTAAGGTGCGTTTACACGAAGAGACAGTCTCCTAACTTCATGACGTCACGGAGATAAACACGGTTCGAAATATCTCCCGAAACGCGAGTCTCCTACCACACGGGAGAGTTGGTTCCTGAGATCATCTCCGGAAAAGTATCTCCTTGCTGTTTACACTTGATACAAATGTCTCTCGATGTTCTCCGGCCTAGCCATCTTGAATAAGTAGCGGCGAGCAGTTTGAGGTTAGGATGTGACAACTGTTGCAGCTGCCTGTGCCACTTTCCCAATTTTTAAGAAGCAAGGAAAGGAATGAGACAAGTGTGAGTGATTTTGTTTTCTTGAGAAAAGTAGAACTGAGTATTTATAAAACTTTGATGTCGTATTTGCAAGAAGAGGATTTTTTAAAATATTTATTTGCTACCTGTTCAGTTGCATTACATTTTTATAGAGAGAATAAAATAAAACAAGTTTTAATTTACGGACGTTTAACAATGTTTTTTGGAAAACGTGGTCGGAGTCCAGGATGAGAAAAATAGTTTTGACCTAATGTAAATATTATAAAACTGGGTGAAGTTGATAATTTGTTTTAGAAACTTTTAGTTAAGTATAAACGATTTGAAAGAATCAATTTTACGTTCTCTGTAAATTTGTGTTATGATATAAACTAGGAAAGATATAAAATGTTGCGAAGGAGATTATTTTGAATTATTTGAAATTTGTTAATTTTGGTAGAAGAGGCATTACACCTAGGGCAGGCATATAAAAGAGAAGCCCTAATTATGGTTTTATATAACAAATTTTGATTTGAATTGATCCGTAATTTAAAGTTTTAATTTATTAAAGGATGTAATAAAAATAATATTATAAACGATAATAATTTCATGTACAAAAACTTCGTAACTTCAGAAGGATTTTATTTTTTTATTAGGAAATATCTCACGCAATCAAAAAGCAATAAAAGTGGAAAAGAATTTATTTCGGAAAGAGACTTAGTTTGACGATGCGGCGGTTTTTGGCCACAGGAGATACATACAGTTCTTTGTCATTTGTATTTATAATTCCCCAGAGTATAATTTCACAAAAAAGAACAGAAATCCACCGATCACGTTGGAACGCCGCACAGACACAGACAGACGCAGAATGGCTAATCGAGAACGTGAACACTTGCAAGAGAGCAAAAAGTCTTCCAACTCTCTTTGAATACTATTTATCTCCCAGGAGATACGATTCCTCATCGATACCAGAGTCTTTACACTGTTCTCTTGCGGAGACTTCGAATATCTCTTGTGACGTCATGTCTCCGGAGAGAAGATCGCTCTTCTGAGAGTTTACACGTGTCTCGTAACCAGTTCCGGAAAGTTAGGAGAGAAAAATCTCTCCGTGTAAAAGCGTCTTTACTCTCTCGCTGCCGCTCACGCGATAGAGGGAAAGTAGCGGGGAGAAACGGAGAATTTTCGACAGGAAAAACTTTTTATTACAGAGCCCTGGGAACGAAAAGGTGGATAAATTCGATTGCTAAATTTAGAAAAATTTCTCTAGCACGTGGTGTAGCCAGAAGCCATGTTTTGTGGGTCCTTGATACTGAAATATCGAATGATGACAAAATGTATGTGTACGTCCGTCTGTGAACAACGCTGAGGGCTAAACCGTTCAGACCGTTTTCTCCAGAATCGAAATTCACCAATCGATTTAGCTGAAGTAGCGACCTCTTTAATTTTATTTATGGGGGTTCTTTATACGAACATTTTCCAAAAAAAAATTAGAAATCTTCCAACGTTTTATTAATCTTTGTAATTAGATAGTGTAAAGGACGTTTAAGAGAATGGTGCAGGTCTCATGTTCGGTGAAAACCCTAATTTTTCGAAAGTTGCAAAAGTTCAAAATGTTTGGCGTGTTTCTACAACTAAAATATTAAAGATATAAAATTATTAGTGAAATAGTGTCATTAAAGACAGATTTTGAAATAAGATCATTTGCAATTTTTTGAAAATTTCGTGTTCTACAAAAAATGATGACTGGTGTGTTAATTCGAAGAGAAATTGCTGTATAAATAGATTTTTTTAAACTTGTTTGGAAACTTCAAATGCTACAAATTGTGAGAGAAAATATGTTGATGCAACCCAACTTGTTTATTAAGGTGGTGTTACAGCTTGACCGACTCAAGCCCGATATCATAAAAGAGGACTTGGTTGATTATAGACGCGGACTATCGCTTCGGTTTACAAACTAGAATGTCGTCTATTTGCTTTGTATAGCTATAATAACTATTATTTGCTGATTTCCATGTGCTTGTTTTGCAACTGACAAAGGATGAGTTAAGGCATGAATGTGTTACTACCTCGAGCTATAGTAATTAAAAACTAATCTGCGTCCTGAAACTTGAATAATTCATAGTCAAAGATTGTAGTCAATAGTTTTCCATTTCTAGCAGTAAACATAAGAGAAAAAGACACGTTCGAAAACGATAAAAGGTCGTATTTATAATGTTTATGAAAAAAAACAATAACAACATAGAATCATAATTATTACAGAGAATATATTTATTGCTGTTTAAAAAAAAAAACTACTCCAAAAATCTACAGAGTGATGTAATCTTGCAAACTTCAGTACAAGAGAATGTATTCGTGGAAAATAAAGGTGTTTAAAATTGTTTAATTACCGTTAATGTTATGTTTGCCTGAATAATATAAAAACTTAAGAGTTATACAAATTATATACTTAATTGGGTATACAATGGTCAGTAATCAAAATACTCCTTTTTGTGGAGAATTCGAGTAGTAAATACTACAAATATAATCAAGATATGATAAAACGTTCTCAAACTCAAACATTTTAAACAAGTTTATCAGTGCACGGGATTTCTGTGCAGAAATTGATTGATTGAAATTTAAGGTAGCTTTAATAGGTACGGTCATCTTGGTCGTAGGGGAGGGGAGCAATAGAACCATGGCCCCCTTGAAGAATCGATACAAATGGACAATTGTACAATTAGAGACTATTCGTACTGATCATCAAAAAGAAAAATAATGTTTATTTTAACAAAACAGTGATATATAATGAATTAGTTTACATTTGAATTGTATTTTTTTTTAAATCTTAATACGTCCCTTGCAAATAATGTACTTTAGCTTCCGTGTCAGTGATCCCCATCTCGATCAGGTTTTTGTCCAGTTTCCCTGATCCTCGAGCTAATGCTGAGATGGCCCCTTGATTTGCTTGTGGTTGTAAATGTAGCTTCACTATGCGCACGTTTTGTTGAGCTGTCCTTTTGCTTGTAATGGTAAGAGTAGAGGTAAGGGCGAGTTGCTATTTTGTTAGCAATGCAGAAAAATCATACTGGTAATTCGTTTACCAATGCAAATAAGTTTTCTATAACTCGAAAACAAAAATGTCAATTTTTTCAAATATTGTTAATGTTGCGATTTTTTAAATTTATTTTTATTTATTTATGTTAAACTTTTATTCATCTTTCAACTATTTATAGTTAAAATGACGGAGAGGGATTCTGGAAATCAAGAAAACGTGCGCAGACAATCTTCTCCCCATACGTCACATACAGTTTTTACTGCTTTTTGACTAAATAAATCTAAATCTACTAGTTAGTCTCCTTTTCGTTCGAGTCTGGGCTAGCGTTTTGGTTTTTCCGCATCCTCCTCCCTGCTGTTACCTATCGGCGCCTAAAAGAATTCCTTTTCACATTTTTTAAAGTTTGCTGTCTCTTAACAGAAAAGTTGAAACATGAATTTAAGGTTATTATAGAATAGTTAATGCTGGCTCCATTGAAAATTTCTATTGAAAATTTTGGAGCTGTCTTTGAGAAAATGTGGTTGGAGCATTTTTGAAACAGTGTATTTTTCAACTCATGTAACAGAAAAGCTTCGAGTTTTCGAGAAACTTCATGAGAGCTCATTTGAAGCTCAAGTACTCACAAATGCAAAAACGTTTAAAAATGCCCTTAACGTTTAACAACGCATGAGATTTAAATTAATGCATTTTTAAACAGCCACTTCTCATTCATTGCATACGAAAAATTCAATTTGTAACACTAATGCTAAAAGTGAGACTATTCTCAAATATTCAGATAAATATGTGAATGTAACAAAGAAAGAAAACTTTTGTTTACTGCGTCATCTACTAAAAACATTAATGTAATATCTTGAAGTGTTTTCTATGCTTGAATTAAAATAAAATGAAAGTCAGTCTAAAAAAAGAGACCTTATGTCGCAACATTTCCTACTTGCAAAATAAAATGCCACTTTTACCACTAGTATCTTAAATATCTATTTTGTAATAAATAATGTAAAATTACTTATATTTGCAAGAAAATGTACTTGACATTAATAACAGAACTAAGTTGAGAACAAATTTCATTTGAATATAAATCTCCTTCTTCAATAATGTAAAATGGCTCGCAATTGTGTTCCTAATGTTTTTAAATGCGTATTTCACTCTATTCGTACAATTCCTACAAATTTAAAGAAAAAATTGGAGCAATTTTTAAGAAAAGTTTGAAAAAAAGTACTCTTTTGAAAGTCGCAGGGCTTCCTGTCGTATAAGATTGATTGGGGAGTATTTATTTCGGATAAATTGTTGTTATTGGTTTGGGCGCTAGTGTTGTTCACAGACGGTCGGCCAGACAGCCGTGCATTTTGAAAACAAAACAAAAATAACTTTTTTTTCGGCGTCCCAAAACGTGAAATCTCGAAATTAATTTCCCACAGAATTACATAACTATCTCTATACAATGAACGTACGTATACGGGAGAGTAAAAATGGTATTAAAGTTTCCTAATGACATATTTTATTAATTAGTTTTAATACGATTAACAATTAAAAAATATTCAAAAATTAATATTTTAAATATTTTGTGTTTAAGTTCAATATATATTTAAAAGAAAAAGTAGTACTATCAGAAGCACATAAAAACATTATATTATTTCGTTTTCAAACTGCTGATAAATGACTATACAAAAATTTAAAAGAGTGTATTAATTAGTTATCATTAATTCAATTTTAATGCATGCGTTTCCTTAAATGTTAATGGCCGACCCTTATCATCCCGTGCATCGGCAATTCCAGGAGTACGCGGAATCTCTCGCAAGTTGCGCACTTTTTGCACGATAGCGGATTTAAGAACGTAAACAAGCCTGGCGCAATACTCACCCGATAGAGAGGCCGCCAGGACGAGCGATAGTGTCACCCACGACATTGCAGGACGTCTGTACGCGGCGGCGACGGAACGCTGGGGTCCAGGGATGTCTAGAGTTTTACGTTCGGGTTGCCGACTCGCTCACCATCCGACCCAACGCACTTGCTTCGCGACGATCTGCAAGCGAATGTGCAAAATTAGGGAATCCCTCCGTTTAGAAACCGAGCTCTCGAGAATGGGTATTGATAAGAGAGGAAGAAAAAAATATGAATTTATCAACAAACGCGTATCTTCCTCGCGCAGATTGGAGAGTGGTTTGTTTGGATACGAGAATGGGTTGAATACTAATGCGTCATGTGGCAGATACTGATACTCATTTACGCTCTTTACGAATCTTATCTTAGTTTATTTTTACGCGTCGAGTACTATGGCCACTATCACGCAATAATTTAATTTCATCTGCAGATCAGGGGCACTCGTTAATGTTGGCTGAATTCTCCTGATTACGTCGCATAAAAAGAGTAACTGTATAACAGTTTCAAGGGAAAGGTACAAAATTCACTATACGAAAAATTGTTGTTCCCAAAATACTGTCTCGGGTCTTTCAGTGTTCATTCTAATTTCTAATTTTATTCTAAGACCAGTCAAATGAGGAACTGGGAATAGGGAAGGAAAAATCGCGCACTGTCCGTCACCCATTACTTAACAATCGCATTGTAATGGAGAGAGACTGCGAGAGGTGTCTCAGGGCATCAACTGATGGCAAGGAAGTGCTTGTTACCGGGAGGACCTAGCGTTCAAGTCCCGTCAGTGACAGGATTTTTGACACTATTTGACAGCTAGGTGAATGAGAATTCTAGCGACCGGCTGCTCTGATCGGTAGTTTTCCGTGACACCGTTGACCGTTCTCAGTGTGTTATTTGCTACGTAGTATTGAGCAAGTTGTGCGAGAAATCATTTTCAGCCCTTGTTGCAGTTAAAACAAAATATTGAGGCAAACAACATTGCTAATTAATGATTAATGTTGTGCCCTTTCTGATTCTCAACCATATATATATATATAT